AACTTTGGGAAAGCATCAGCACCTAAAATGTTGGAACTGTTGAGGTAATTAAAACTCCATGTTTAACTTTAAGAGGTGAGTTTCACATGTGTGAGGTTATATAATGCATTTACCATGGCAAGTATTGACCAACTCAAGCGTAGTTATCACCCGACTAAATACAGTAAACTAAGGCTGTAACAATCAAATGAATCGCCAATTTTAGTTCATTACAACCATACTTTGTTATATGCATTTAAACTAAACTATACAGCAAGTGTCCGATACCTAAAAGCAGTTCATCATCATGATCATATCCGTAATTTTATTATAAGACTGTTATAAATGTTGTTTAGTCCATTACATGGAACTGAATATTAGGGCTGCAACAAATACTGTATGTGGCGATTATGATATGTATCATGAATATTGGGTAACGAATACGAATAATTACTCACGAATACAATATTGTAGTTAAGTGATTGATGCACAATATGGAACGCCCATGTTGACAGTGTTAATTTGTCGCAGCAATAACCAGTTATCTCATGACACTCAAATTTGGTATGTAATAGTTTATAGTGGACTGTACCATGTGCGGCCTTGGCAAACTAACATGACTTGTGCTACTGCAAGGCTAGTACATATTCCATAATTGCATATCTCACTTTGAGAAAGAACATAGGGTTAAAGTAAAACACACTCCCTTCAAAAAATTGTAAATATTCGTTAATATTTGGTTCTGGTGACCATGAATAATTAATTGAATTCATGAAGGGCCTCGGTTCAATTCACCGCATATGCGAGTGAATCGTAACAGCCTTACTGAATATTCTTTATCTGTAAATATATTCATGGAAAGCTACCAGATCACACAATCATTCAAAGTATAGAATACCATACTTAATAAACTACCAATATCCATGATTATTTATGAATTATCTACCTGTAGTGACTTCTTTGAGTGGCTTATTTAGAAGTTGGAGAGTCAGATAAGGACAAACTTTATGGATGAACAACTTTTTTATTCAGGTGATGCGACGTATCGATACAGATTCTTGTATCGTTGTCAAGCAAGTATGAGTCAGGTAGTAAATAGGGTGTTATATTATGCAGTAAGTAATTAACAAAAACAACAAGAAGTCCTGTTAGTTGCATCTTACAACAGGCATGAAGTGAGTGAGTGAGTGAGTGAGTGAGCAAATTGCAACACCTGACACTACTGGACCACCTCTGGCCCTGATTTCCATAGACAATATTCAGCAGCTTTCACTTACCAGTGCATATACATGTATTCTCAGATGCACCCTGTATATATAAGCACGACTTGTGTAACTAAGCACGACTGTGAATATCCTTCTGTAGCTGCTAACAATGTCCCAGCAGATCCAGCTAATAACACCAGGACGTGACGTATACATGCAGCTTGTGTTGATGTGTAAAGATCATAAATTACATCCTTCCTTCATTAGACAGCTCAAAGTGATGGTTTTCGATTCCAATTATTAATATATTAATATTCCTGTTTCAGTTTTTTCCAATTAGTTTTCAAAATTGGTAAAAATTTGCTTTCCATATAATTGATGGAGCGAGTGAGTTGGGTTTTATCCCACTCACAGCATTGTTCCAGTTTTTCTCATGGCATGTGAGATAGTGTTGGGAATTGGTAGAAATTTCACAGTTGATAACTAGCAATCATCGAAAAAAATTGGTTACCATCAGTTTTCAGATTTCCCTATTCATGTGGTTATTACAGATATGTATAACGTGGTTCTCTCTTGTTTACTTAGAAACTGCACAAATTGAGTTTGCAAATTTCACATCCAATGTAAAATGATGCAACTTGCTACTTTAAAGTGATTACTAATAGTAATATATCATGAACATAAATCTCCTGGAGTATTCAAGAAATATTCAGTCATAAATGAAGTGAGTATTCTAAGAATTAGACTTTTTCAGGCCCGGACACTTTCTAAGATATGTTCCATCGTCAAGTGTTTCAAACACTGAAAACAGTAGTTCCAAAATTATGTTCAATTATGAGAAAATCTCATCGACTGTTTGGTCGTTTGGTCACTGCGACCAATCTTTGATTATTAATTTATTTCAGTTAATCAGAACACCACTAATGTAAGAGCGAAGACCATAATGTAAGAGAGAAGCCCAAAGTCATGCAGGTTTTAGACTTTTAGCACTTTGATGAAACCCATGATGAAGAGTATGGTTCAGACAAACCTAGGAACATATTCAAGCTGATCCTGGAATCAAACCCACAATCAGAGTTTCTTGTTGTTCCCTCAGGACACAACTGGGCACAGGGAATTGCAACCTTATGTGACCTCAATTTCCATATTAGGAGACATCTGCAGCTGCTTTTACTTGGTGAGGTGAGGTGAGGTGAAATTGGGTTTAACGTAGTGCTTGAGAATATTTCGCTCATATGACGATGTGCATGCATGTGTATGTGCGGCTGCTTGTACTAGCCCAGACTGATGCTGGTTTTATAGTGCTAGCCCACTGAGATACCACACCGCAGTGAAGCATGAATACCCCACTCAGACACATTATACTGACTCCGAGCCAACCAGTCCTTGTTGTACCCATTAATACCGAGTGCCAGGCAGGGACCAACAAGTACCATATTTTAACGTCTTTTGGAATGACGCGGTTGGGTATCGAACCTGTGACCTTCCGCTCTCCACTTTTACTTAGTACAATGAGCCGTCATTATATTCTATATATCAGTTTTAGAGGTCGTTACAGGCAATATGTGGGTCCTGTGAAGTAACGGTGTAGAGAACTGTTTGATAATTTCCTCAGAGCCTGAAATGAATCATTGATCATTTGGACTGGTGGATGAAATGATGCATGAAACTGCTCTGAAAGGAACAGCTAAACACTAAGCAAAGTCGTACATGTGTTGTCGGTACAATCAATAACATTTTACGTCCCTCAGTGAATGGCGCACATTTGCGCGTTGCGTAAAACCCTGTTACATACATAAACTGATATACCAATTACTGTTACAATTACTGATAAAATTACCTATCCTGCATATGTAAGGATAAATAGACTTGTAACTATATATGAACTGTTTGTTATCAATTAGGGGATGTCACAGAATTTTAATCGTTGCTTTTCAAAATAACTCAAGTACTATATATCCCCAGCAAAACATTCCATGATCTTACCTCAGCTATGCTAATTTCATGCCTATACAGTAGTGAGTGGATATTTTGTATTTCAATGCTTCACTACCGACATTAATTCGTAGAACAGCTGGTGTTGATTAAAGCTCTTTGCTGACAATAGCATCAGAATGTTGGTCAGAATAGTAATCTTTCAGTATCCTGCACTTAGAAAGACAGATTTATGAAATGACACAGGCCGGCACACTCCACTTGTCACATGCACAATGAGCACCTGAGGATATGAATGTTCCTAATCAGCTGATTTAGTTTGTCGTTTAACGCCTGATTCCGTGGTGATACAAATCATAGCCTCCAGTAAATAGTAAGGACTAAAATCACCATTATCAAAACTGTACTCCAAGCAAGCGTAGCTTAAAAAAACAATGCATGGAATCAGAAACGTGTTACTTTATACAGATTAGTGAGGGATTATATTATACCATAATGCCTATCATAAGGGCTAGAAGAATTTCTTAATGTGGTATTAATGGAAAGTTATATGTAATCACTATTTAGACTAGTAAATGCTCTTGGCCAAACTTCTATCCCTGACAGAACACTGATTTAATACAGTCAGTTAGTCAACAGGTACTCCACTGAAGAATGTACAAGTGGCTCAGTATTGTTTTCTGTCATGGGCGGATCCCCCCTTTTGAAAATGACTTAAGTCCACATTGAAGATTATTTTTTTCGTGGGGGTTGGGGGGTCGAACTCCCTGGAACCCCCAATCCCCCCACACACGCACTTTCAAAATTCCTGTATCCGCCCATGCCTGTCATGTAAATGTTACACTTCTGTTGGGTTACAATGATACTAGTGAGTGAGTTTTGACTTTTATGTCACTTTTTGCAATATTCCAGCATTATCATACCAGGGGACATTATAAATGGGCTTCAAACATAGAACCCATGTGGGGAATCAACCTCAGTCTCTGGTGTGACGAGCGAATGCTTAAACCCCTGGGCTACCCCACCCCATAAAAATAGTTCCAGCTACACGGGGTACTGAGTGAATACTGCTCACATATCATCAATATTACAAGAGCGTCTTTAGATGAACAATATCTCGTACCACAATCACGATGCTTTCAAAATCAAAATTGTTCCTCACCCCAGATGTGGAATGGTTTGGCAAGTCGAATTGCCTGAGATCTTGCGTCTCTGACATTAATCATTATTCCAGGCTCCATTTTGACCTTACTTCTTAGTTTAAACATTTCCCCCCAATTCTTTTGGGAATGCAAAGTAAGGACATGTTCTCAGACATCACTTACTACAGATCAAACATTCCATTCCAGAGCTAACAAAGATATAGGTTACAGTGCCTATACAAGTCTAATGTTTAGTAAAAACACAACCCTGTCTCACAGATCATAGTGGAAAGTGGGTCCAAAAGTCAGGTCAACCTGTGGTCTTTGCTTGTGACTGTTGAAACCCTCGCAAACCTCGATCACAGGTTACAAAATGAAGATCTTGTTATGTACTGACAAGTCTATAACACTTCTGAAACTTAAATCCATGCTTTGGACGGTCCATATGGGAAATGCAGGAATTAATATCCAATGACAACCCCAGGTGGACTGGTGGCTCTGACTAGAAAAGAGATAGATGGGATCTGAGAAAAAACAACTTCAATAAAGTTCAAAGTTCGATGAATGTCTCGAACTTGACACAAGTGACAGCCCAGCTTCAATCGACAGTCGGTGACCAGCTGGTGACAACACCCACAACAATGACAATCATCTAATATGATGACAACTACATCTAATATATGGGACACGTCTTCAGTTAGTACTTCACTACAAGCAAAATCAAGAGCTGCAGACTGACCTTATTCGTACAGCGATAAGTTACCTCCCTTGGCGTTTATTGAGTTATTTTAGTAGGCGAACGTTTCAATTATCGCGAAGAATAATTTTACCCACAACACTGGGTATGGAGAAGCGAGTGTATATTTACACGACTGCTTTTCACACTTGGTTGACACATGTCATCGTATCCAAGTTGCGTAGACCGATGCTCATGCTGTTGATCACTGGGTTGTCTGGTCCAGACTCGATTATTTACAGACTGCCGCCATATAACTGGAATATTGCTGAGAGCGGGGTAAAACTAAACTCACTCACATATATTTGTGGAACTTGACCTCTATTTCAAGTTCTTAGTTAAACTCACGTGTTAATGATTCAAGTATTAATGAACCTAATGCTGAACAAATATTACGGATACTATTTTCTCTCAAAGAAGCCCGTCCTTATCCCCCAGCTAAGGTTCTTGAGTCCTTGCATGGTACAAGACAAGAGGGTACTCCAGTTTACAACCAATCTATTTACGTACCTGTAATTCCTTTATACGTTCCGGGGATATGAAGCATTGATCCATTTATTGATGAAAAGAATAAATGAGTGAGTAGTGTTTCACGCCGCACCGAACAATATTCCAGTAATATCACAGCAGGGGGAAACGTAGAAATAATCATTACACATTGTACTCATGTAGGGAATCGAACCCGGGTGTTCGACATGACCAGCGAACGCTTCCACCATACGAACCATCGAACCCCCAAAGTCATGGGTCTTTCAAAGCGTCAAATTATTTGAAGCTTCTTTAAAGTTTATTGTGATGTTAGAACATGGACAAGCCATACATATATTTCTCAAATCGTGGTCGTACCAAAACATATTTCAAAGGATTTGTATTTATGACATTTAGCCTTTTGAAATTTAGAAATTGAAAATGATTGTAGTTTATCATGTTTCATAGAAGCAATGTAGGATTTTGTTGGTTTGTTGTTTAACGCTACATTCAGCAAATATCCAGCTATATGGACCCGTGAAGATCCGGGGTAGAATAGGTCTTCAGCAACCCATGTGCTTGCCATAAAAGGCGACTATGCTTGTCGTAAGAGGCGACTAACGGGATCGGGTGGTCAGTTTCGCTGATTTGGTTGACACATGTCATCGGTTCCCAATTGCGCAGATCGATGCTCGTGCTGTTGATCACTGGATTGTCTGGTCCAGACTCGATTATTTACAGACCGCCGCCATATAGCTGGGATATTGCTGAGTGCGGCGTAAAACTAAACTCACTCACTCACTCCAGCTATAAGACGGCGGCCTAAGTATGGACCAGACAATCCGTTGATTGACGTCAAGAGCATCGATCTACGCAATTGGGATACAATGACATGTATCAACCAAGTCAGCGAGCCTGACAACCCGATCTCGTTAGTAGCCTCTTACGACAAGCATGAAGTGCTGAAGACCAATTCTAACCCGGATCTTCACGGGTTTCACAGTAGGATACATAACCATCTCATTGGTGGCATGGGGCATTGTAAACACTAACATCCATGCTTCCAATACAGAGAGAAGTTGTTTATTTAAACATCATTTCTGTACAATACAACAAAATAACAAATATGTTTATACAACGAATCCAACTCTCACACAGCTTAGTACTCTAATAACCTTCAAGTTCTCCTTTTTCATATGAAAAGGTTTCCTCTCTCTCGTCTTCTCTACTGAAGGAAATGCATTTCCGATGAAATCTATTTTTGACAAGCCTCTTTTGAACATTCGGGACGAATAGCCCGTGCACGTGGTGGTCGTGTCACATGTTGTACAGATTTTCCTTCCTTTGTCTTTCTAACTCTTTTAGAGGACACCCCTCCCCTCCTATATCTCGTTTTCTTTTCTCTTGTTTTTGTGTACTTTTAATTATTGGTTTGGCCAAATTGTTTGCTTGGCCTTATTCTTCTGTTTTCCTCTTGTTTTGGCCTTTCAAAAGAACTGACACCGCTGTCACTGCTTCTGTGCCTTTACACCTTGGTCGGACTTAGTTTCTTTACAAATCACTATCGAAATCAAAACTGTCTTCTGAGCGATCGATTTAATTGAAATCAGACTCATAATTGGAGTGTGCAATATCGCATTCCTTGTGTGCCGCAGTTTCACAGCTTTCGTATGTGCTTTGTGCACTATGTGAATCCATCCCAGTAGCACATTTGCTGGTTCCAGCATTTATTTTCCTCATCTTGTCTAAGCTGTCTACAGTTGAAAGTCTGGTTAATGTCTGCCATAAACCACCCATGTAATACTCAAGGTCCCTTATGCTCAGACTGTTTACGCATAATCAATGGTATTTTCTGTCACATACAAAACATCTCCGTCAAAGAGTTCCATCTTTATTGGTCAGCACAGTGATCTCATTTGTAAGGGATAATCCCCCAGCTTAAGGGAGTCATGTGCTTCTTTCAAACGCTCATAACTTCTCAAAGTTATATCTTCTACTGATTCCTTTCTGTTGGGTGGATGGTGATTAGTCAGGAAATCTGAAAAAACACATGAAAGATTAATTAGCAATTACCATGATTAAATAATTGAGTGAGTCTGGTTTTACACCGCCTTTAGCAATAATCCAACAATATCACGGCGGGGAACACCAGCCAATGGTCTTCACACATTGTACCCATGTGAGCAATTGAACCCCGGTCTCTGGCGTGACGCTTTAACCAATAGGCTACCCCACCGCCCCCTTAATTAAATGAAACACAGTTACAGTACAACCAGACATTTTTGAGAATTTCAAGATTGCAATTTTTATTTTTTTTCACTCATTACTCACGTATTAAATGTGAATATTAACAGAACATAACTCCAAATTCAAAGACACATGAACAGTTTGTATTTTGTCAAGTCACCATGGGCAGCAATGCAGGCTTCAATGCGGCGGGGCATACTACTGATCAAAGAAGTTAGAAAGTCGTGGTCCATGCTGTTCCAATATCGGGCTACCTCTTCTTTCATTTCAGCAATATTGACACTTTCCTTCATAAGTCCCCAAACATTTTCTATTGGATTTAGGTCAGGGCTATAGCTTGGCCAATCTAATAATGTCATATTTGGGGTCCGAAACCAGGCCTGTGAATGCTTTGAACGATGTTTTGGCTCGTTGTCCTGCTGGAAAATCCAAAAATTTCCATACAACACGTGAGCAGATGGAAGTAAATGTCCCCCGAGAATATCTGTGTACCGCTCACTGTTCATATTCCCTTCAAATACACAGAGGGGCGTTGCCCCTAACACAGATATGCCACCCCACACGTTAAATTTCGGTCTGTACTTTGGGCGCTGATACAAAGGTTTTTCAGTGTGTTTGGTCCAGAATTTCAGTGTATTAGGAAACAGCCACACACACAGAACTTTCATCTGAGAAAATCACATTGTCCCAGACAAAAATGCTATGCTGTAAGCACCAGTTCAACCTTCGTTCCTTTTGTTCAGGTTTCATGCTCGGTGATGGAATTCCTTGACTTTTCTGCCAACCCATTGCATGCAGCTCAGTTCTAATTGTCTCCTTACAGACAGCCACAGTTCCTCTATCAATCATATCCAGCCTTATGTTTTCTAAACTCCTTCGTTTGTTTTTTTTAAACAAGAATACCAAGCCGCCTCCTGTCACCGACAGTCAATTTTCTGGGCCTACCTGCGCCTCCCTGGTGCTCAATGCCATATCCCTTTGCAATATTTTTCAAAACACGATAAACAGTGGACAAAGGGATGCCTGTTCTACTCCAAATCACTTTAAATAGCTGTTCCGATGTCCTTGTTATAATACTCTAAAATCAACTTCCTCTTCTCTAAATCATCCATACTGAGGATCACTGAAAATGTCGTCTGCTCGCAAGTAAACAAAGGGGAATAACTCTTCACAAACTAATGAAAAAGGATTAACGGAGTTGTCTCTCTTGAATGAAACCAAGCACTTGATAGCTGGTCAAGGTTGTTTATACTAAAAATCCAATTAAATATATTCCTAAAATTCTCAAAAATTTCTGGTCATACTATACTTCAAACAAAATCTATTACATATCAAATGGATTAAAACCATGTCATATCAAAATCTTAATATTTGTAAACGGTTTAACGGTTTCTTAGCCTAGTGGTAATAATCGTTAGCTCGTCACGCCGAACACCCGGGTTCGATTCCCCACACGGGTACGAATTGTGAAGCCCATTTCGGGTATCCCCCGCCGTAACATTGTTGGAATATTGCTAAAAGCGGCTTAAACTAAACTCACTCACTCACCATCCAGGCAGGCACACCCAAAGATACACACACCCAAATAACTACATTGTACCAAAGTCGGGAATCGAACCAGGGTTTTCAACGTGACGACCGAACGCTACCCCATCGTTTGATGGGTAACACTACCAAAGAAACATGACTTGCCGATCTATTCACCTTGGTGTTTTATGGGGAAGTTTTCATCTTTTCTTCGCAACTGGACGGCACAAACTACGATGTGGATACAGGTTTTTCGTTGTGAGTTCAATAACTACATTTACGTGTATTTATCAGAACTGACACAGTCGCGACCTGAAGACAGGGCCTGTTCGTCTGAGGAATACTATACACTTTATTTGTAGTTTGATATAAAAACTAATCTCAGTAAAATATGTTCATTTTCAGAGACTAACTGGTCTAACCATGCCTTTACATGTTTAAATATTTCAGTAAATGAAACAGTTGGAATAATAAAATATTAACTGGAACCACACATCATTGCTTCATTCAAGTCCGAAAAATTTATATTTATACAGGATTTATTTGACAGTTAACGCTTTGTTTCCAACAACGTGGCATTTTGTCGCCAGAATGTTTGAGCATGCAACTGGGAACAGCTCCGATTGGTGTATATTTTATTTTGTCGCTGAGGTGTGCCAGCCAGTGTCACAGGCACTCATTTGTTCCTTTCCTAACCAACACACTAAGGGCAAGAATTTTATGGATGTCAACTTCTTTATTGTGAAGGGTCACGACGTTTCGAAGTATCTTCTTAGTCCTTCA